AATCTTCTATTGTGAATGCATTACTATTATTATGACTCCGTTTGTTTACCCAGGAATGCCTCGCTGAATATCAAAGCCTCTTTCAGGAGGGTCCTGCCAGGTTTTTTGCAGTAGTTCGGGGTGGGTGGGGGGGTGGTCAATGTTGCTGCTGTAGTAATTTAGTAATTTGCTGGTAAATACTCATCGGGAGATTTGGCTAATACCAGGGGGGAACTATTGAAACTAAAAAGACAATGTTGTGGTTGCGACGCAGCAATGCTGCTGTGGCAGTCGGTATGGACAATTTAAACTTTTAATCCAAACAATTTTTTTAGCCAGGTAAGGCCCACTGAGCTATGTAACTCTTTCTCAGAAGCGACCTAAGCCACATGGCTTATCACGTGGGAATTTATAGCAGCCAAATACTCTCAATACATGTTTCTAAATGTGGAGGGGAAAACCTGAGGATCCGGAGAAAAATCCAGACGAGCACGGGGAGAAAGAAAGACATGCAAACTCCAAATATACAGCAGGCATCAGGGTCAGGATCGAACCCACGATAGCCTGTATCCCAGGCGAGGGAGTTAACATCTCGCCACCGTTGCTCCCACATACAACGACCTCCACAGGGAATGGCACCCGAGTTAGGAATGGAAGCCAGGCCCATCTTGCTATGGGCCTGGCGTGTTGTTCGGCAAGCCGCAGAAGCTCTGTGCGGTGGGACATCGTGCCAAACAACAAGTGAACAACGCACCAGAGGCTGCAGACACCCTTTCTCACTCTCTCTCTCTCTCACTCTCTCTCAAGCCTGGCTCTTTAAACAAAGTCAAGGGCTAGGCTCCAGCGCGAACTCGATCCTTGGAGTACGCTGTACGATGGTCGATCCTAGATGGTAGCTGGGCTGATGCTGGGCCTTAAGTTCCTCTTATTTATTTTTTTGGTTTGTTGTACGTATGTACGTGGTAATCTAAGGCACAGTGTTGAGTCTTTGGGCAGTGTTGAGTCTATGGGTAGTGTTGAGTCTATGGTGCAGTGTTGAGTCTATGGGCAGTGTTGAGTCTTTGGGCAGTGTTGAGTCTATGGTGCAGTGTTGAGTCTATGGTGCAGTGTTGAGTCTATGGTGCAGTGTTGAGTCTACGGGCAGTGTTGAGTCTATGGGTAGTGTTGAGTCTACGAGGAGTGTTGAGTCTATGGGTAGTGTTGAGTCTATGGGCAGTGTTGAGTCTATGGGCAGTGTTAAGTCTACGGGCAGCGTTGAGTCTATGGGCAGCTTAAATTTCGATTTAAAGCTTTCGTGACTGCAGGGATTCATATTCTTGGTTCTTTCGGTAAAGTCACGTAGAAGGGAAGTAATAAAATAATAAAAATAAATTATTTTATTATGTTTTATTTTTATTATTTTATTACTTCTATGGGCAGCGTTGAGTCTACGGGCAGCGTTGAGTCTACGGGTAGTGTTGAGTCTATGGACAGTGTTGAGTCTATGGGTAGCGTTGAGTCTATGTGTAGTGTTGAGTCTATGGGCAGTGTTGAGTCTATGGTGCAGTGCTGAGTCCATGGGGCAGTGTTGAGTCTATGGGCAGCGTTTAGTCTATGGACAATGTGAGTCTACGGGCAGTGTTGAGTCTATGGGGCAGTGTTGAGTCTAAAGGCAGTGTTGAGTCTACGGGCAGTGTTGAGTCTACGGGCAGTGTTGAGTCTATGGGCAATGTAAGTCTACGGGCAGTGTTGAGTCTACGGGCAGTGTTGAGTCTATGTGCAGTGTTGAGTCTATGTGCAGTGTTGAGTCTATGGGCAGTGTTGAGTCTACGGGCAGTGTTGAGTCTATGTGCAGTGTTGAGTTTATGGGCAGTGTTGAGTCTACGGGCAGTGTTGAGTCTACGGGCAGTGTTGAGTCTACGGGCAGTGTTGAGTCTACGGGCAGTGTTGGGTCTATGTGCAGTGTTGAGTCTACGGGGAGTGTTGAGTCTATGGGCAGTGTTGAGTCTACAGGCAGTGTTGAGTCTATGGGCAGTGTTAGTCTATGCCTCTATGGGCAGTATTGAGTCTATGGGCAGTGTTGAGTCTATGGTTAGTGTTGAATCTATGTGTAGTGTTAGTTTATGGGCAGTGTTGAGTCTATGGTGCAGTGTTGAGTCTATGGGCAGTGTTGAGTCTATGGGCAGTGTTGAGTCTATGGTGCAGTGTTGAGTCTATGGTGCAGTGTTGAGTCTACGGGCAGTGTTGAGTCTATGGGTAGTGTTGAGTCTACGGACAGTGTTGAGTCTATGGGCAGTGTTGAGTCTATGGGCAGTGTTGAGTCTATGGGCAGTGTTGAGTCTATGGGCAGTGTTGAGTCTACGGGCAGCGTTGAGTCTATGGGCAGCGTTGAGTCTACGGGCAGCGTTGAGTCTATGGGTAGTGTTGAGTCTATGGGCAGTGTTGAGTCTATGGGTAGAGTTGAGTCTATGGGCAGTGTTGAGTCTATGGGTAGTGTTGAGTCTATGGGCAGTGTTGAGTCTATGAGCAGTGTTGAGTCTATGGGCAGTGTTGAGTCTACGGGCAGCGTTGAGTCTACGGGCAGCGTTGAGTCTACGGGCAGCGTTGAGTCTATGGGTAGCGTTGAGTCTATGGGCAGTGTTGAGTCTATGGTTAGTGTTGAGTCTATGTGTAGTGTTAGTTTATGGGCAGTGTTAGTCTATGGGCAGTGTTAGTTTATGGACAGTGTTAGTCTATGGGCAGTGTTGAGTCTACGTGCAGTGGTAGTCTATGGGCAGTGTGGAGTCTATGGGTAGTGTTAGTCTATGGGTAGTGTTGAGTTTACGGGCAGTGTTGAGTCTATGGTTAGTGTTGAGTCTATGGGTAGTGTTAGTCTATGGGCAGTGTTAGTCTATGGGCAGTGTTAGTCTATGGGCAGTGTTAGTCTATGGGCAGTACGTATGTATGGTGAACTTTTTTCGCACCGAACGTAGCCAACCGTGCTAATCGGAGGTGCGAGTTATCTTCGTGAGCCACCCCTCCCCCATTCCCTATCCCTCCCCCCATTTGTCTCTCATTTTCCTCTAACCCTCCCCCAATCCCCATCTCATGGCCAGGTCAGAAAGTGAACCTGGTACACCGTCGTAAACAGCTCCCGTTCGAGGAGGTAAGCCTACCCAGAAAGCTCCCCCCAACCCTCCCCCGACATGCTGATGTTACCCGTGTGTTGTAATGTGCCCTCCGATGTGATTGTTGATATTGGTTCGAAGAAAGAGAAAACCCAAGAGACACCACGACTGCTGAGGTTCAATTCACAGAAGATGGCACGACTCTGGCCAATCCCCATCAACATTAACCTGGCACCATTGGAACCTCATTTGCCAATATAAAAGGCGCCTTTTGGTGTCATCTGGTCCAACCCATGTGAGACTAGGCTCTAAGGAAAGCTGTCTCGGGTGTGGACCAATCAACATCAAGGACAGTGCACATTATCAGAGTTATGTTTTTTGTTTGCATTATAACTGCAGGTATTGCGGTCTATGTAAACATGACTCCTTGTAAAAAAAGGTGTCAGTTTTGTTGCCAGATAGAAGGGTAAAAAACCAATTATCATTAACCTGGCAATCAACCGTTGATAAAATAATAAAATAATTAATACACTATTCTAATTCAAAGGTATGTATTGACCGGTTGCCGGGCGAGGTCGGCTTCCCCACCGTGTGTGCGTCAGCCACGAGGAAGTTGATTAAACAAATCAGTTGGCCGCGACGTCACAAACCCGATCTGATCGCCTCTGTCCCCAGTTGGTGGGAGGGTTATAGTTAAGGCTTGACATTGTATAGAGGCACTGCACGACCATCTCACCCAAAAATAACAAGATGACGTTATACAGGCGATAAGAGAGTGGGGATTGGTATCGACGCGCGCGCGTATTGCGTGTTGAGTGAACGAATTCGCCAGCAGAGGGCGCGTCTCTCCCCGAAACAAGGGGATAATTTCACGAGGGAGGCAAAAAAAACTTCACGCAAGTTTAGCGAAGAGTGCAAACAGGTGTGTACGCGCGTACACACACAGGTAAACACACACACACGTGTAACATACAGCCCCACGAGCATTTACACTTTCATGAACACCACGTGTGTACGTACAGACGCACACAGCTAGGTACACATACAAGCGACAGACAGGCAACGCAATGTATATACACGTACTGCTAAAATTGAGAGTGTGAACACACAGCGATGAGAAACACAAAGCGAAACCGCAGGAGACAGCACAGAGTACACGCAGTACACACACAGTACACACACAGTACACACACAGCACATAGAGTGCATAGAGTACACACAGTACACACACCGTACACACACAGTACACACACAGCACAGAGTGCATAGAGTACACGCAGTACACAGTACATACACAGTACACACACAGCACATAGAGTGCATAGAGTACACGCAGTACACAGTAAACATCACAGTACACACACAGCACATAGAGTGCATAGAGTACACGCAGTACACACACAGTGCACACACAATGTTATCCCACGTCCGACGGCAAAGCCGCATCCGAGCGAATTAAAACCGCATGCGGCGAATTTTGTGCAGAAATAGGTTCGCCGCTTATAACACGAAATCGCACAAAGCGAGGGAAACTTGTGCACGAACAGGTGTTATGGGTGAGGGATCATCATGCACTCCAACATCCATCCATTAACATCACCATCACCACCCCCATCATCATCATCATCTCTGCCATAATCAAATGATAAGATCCCTATCAACATCCCCACGATCTTTACTCCATCATCATCAACCCCATCTTCATTCAAACGATCATCACCCCCATCGAAATCATCACTCAAATATAATCAACCCATCATGACTGTCACAATAATCATCATGAGAGAGCACCTTGACTAGGAGTCAAACCTGGAATCTGAGGAGGTCCCGGGTAACAAAATTGACCCAATTTCAGCAGCATTGGGTTGGCCGGGGGTGTTTCGGTGTCGGCTCACGATGGCCGTGTCAAGAGCAAAACGGGAGGCAGGGACTCACCTTAGTCCGTCCTTCCACGCGTGTGTGATGGCAGGCTCATGGTGCCCTGTAAAACACAAAGACACACACGCACACAGCGATTGTGTGCTCCATTACATCTCAAGAGGCATCTGTGACTCATCACATCAAATACAAAAAAAGTCTAAATGTCTACATGTTCAAACAAGCAAATCGGGGTTGGGGGGAGGTGGACGTTCGCATGCTTTGGCTGCCATGGGCCAGTCGAAATGTCACATTTCCATGGCAGGGGCCAGTCTCTCCATGGGACGACCAATCCGAGGCGGATCTGGAAACATGCACCCTGGACGGTAGGAAGGGCGGGTGTTCCTGAAATGTCAAGCTTTAAAATAGGGCCCTGCAGCATCAACTTAAACAAAACACATTCCACGTATTGTCTCTGCTGAATATCAATTAAGTACCAATAATACCGATTTTCGGGGGTCTCCAGGGAAGGGGGACGGGGGGGGGACGCCCCTCGGATCGTCAACTGGGACCACTGCTGACTTCAAAAACTTGAACGATCCGGTAGATATGATGGCGGTCATGGCGATGATAGGGATGTTGACGATCGTGATTGGAACGAAGGTGGCGATGATGATAGGGATGATGGTGGTGATGGTGATGATGTTGGTGATGTTGGTGACGATGGTGGTGATGATAGGGATGAGGATGACGATGGTGGTGATGATGATAGGGATGATGATGACGATGGTGGTGACTATGATGGCGATGATGATGGCGATGGCGGTGATTTGAAGGGGTCAGTGACCTGTATTGAACTTGCGATATCCTGACCGGGGAGCCCGAGGGCTTTGGCCACAGCGACACACACACACACAGCGACGGCTGGCCGCACGTATTACTACAGTCGTCGCGTGTTCGCACAACACCTGTGGGCCTGCAGCACTTACTATGCATTACGATAATATAAGGTTCTGTGATGGGAGAAAAAGAGAGAGATGTAGTGAGAAGGGAGAGCGACTAAGGAAGTGAGATGACGAGAGGAGAGAGAAATGGTGACAGTTATAATTGAGAGAGAGCGATGGAGCGAGATGCACGGAAACATAAAATGACAGAGACACACACACACTGACACACAGAGAGGGAGAGAGATGCACGGAGCGATACGGGGAGGGAGAGAACCACACAGAGAGGGGAAAAACAACAAAAACCCGGCAATCGTGCAGATAAGCGAAACGCTGACTCGCGCGATGCAAAAAAAAGTTCCCGATCGGCGTGGAACAAAGCAGAGAAAGAGAGAATTGGGAGCCGAGCTGGGCTTGGGCGAATGAAGAGAACACATTGCACGTACACAATGGGGGGTATTTGTGTGCAGGCGCCGGTGACCGAAGCTGAGACCGTCAACCCGCCGCTACTCTGGTGATCCGGTTAAATCGCGGGTGGCGCCTGGAGCCCGGATTCGAACCCAGGTTCTCCCGTGGTGACGGCTCTACTTCTCTTGACACGGCCATTGTAAAGCCTCTGCTAGAACAAGACACCACCAGCCCCAGGATCTCACTGGCACGCTCTGACACCCGGTTCAACGCTCTGTCGTGGCCATTATAAATCACCCTGAGAGACGACACCCAGGGCCCAGGACTCGAACCCAGGTTGCCCAGCGGCCCCGTTTATAAAACCAGCGAGCACCGAGGCCGCCTCAATCTCTTTTGCTGCTCAAACTTTAAATTTCCTCCGCAACGGCGTTCGCTAAACGGCGATCGCATCCGACCCGGTTAGCGGCGGCCACGACAGTTTTGATTCGCGGTGCTGCTTTGCGGTGAATCGTCCAGGAACACGTCACCAAAACCGAGTTAAGAACTCAATGCAAAGAGGACACGCACTTGATCGTTCGCTCGCAACAACGCGCGTTCTCCCGCTTCGCCAAAATCCCGCCGTGAATCTTAACGCGCCCCACGCTTTTGCTTCCGCAGCTGTATTTAGAGCAGGACTATCGAGATCCCGTACCCTCAGTGTAGTTTTCCCAAGCTTTGCAGTCGCTGCGCCGACGAGCTGTTTAATTTATCGTGCCGTCATTTGGGGGGGGGGAGTGCAGGAAGGGTGTAAATGGGTAGCTCCGTGCTTTCGCGTGCCACCGCTCCATTGTGGTGGATGTTGGCAAACGCATGTGAACATCTCAAATGCAAGTCCCTGCAGGAAAAGCCTGTATTGCGGTATGTATGTATTTCAAACTTATTTTGCACCGTACGTAGCCAGCCATGCTAATCGGAGGTGCGGATATCAATCAATCTGTTGGCTATGTGCAGCTACGGAGAAGTACATTATACGTCTTGTATGGGGGATGGCAATTATATAATCAGTCCAACTTCTTAACATTTTTTCGGCTTTTATGTAAAAAAAAAATTCCAGCGATGGGTGTGGAATTGGAGAGGCGCGCTTTTTGCGTCACGCCAGGGATCCAGCAACTGTGATGACCTAAGGGGTCATATACCTCGTGCGTATGGGACGGCCAAACCTGAGGCCACGTTATTTGACTTGAAGTTTTGCCCGATTTCTCCCGGAAGCCGAGATGAAGGGCAATTCGACCAGGCCAACAAATGAGGTGTTTCCTACGACATGCCGATTTCTATTCAAGGAATACCGCAAAAGTAAAATGCCAAGACTGCGTGTTGTTGAGAAAATATACTTTTTAACCGTTAAATCATAGATATCTGCCACTGGCAACACATTTGTTTTTTTATCGTAACACTTTTGGTGATGTATTTGTGCTGGGCCCTGAATTTTAACAAAGGCCATTCAAGCCAGGATTAGAAGAAAAATCACCCCAAACTATTTGGGCTGCCGCGCGAATTAGCAGTCAGTTTACCAAAGAAAATGTGAGGAAACGTGCTGTGAAAACGCCAAACTCGAGCTCAAACTTTGGTTACGAGGATCATGGAAAACCACTCCTTAGAGGGCTAATGCCGGTGTCAGGATCGCTACGGGCAGGGTGGCTAAGACTCACGATGGTCATGTCAGAGGACTGAGCCAAGCAACGGTGAGACCCGAGGTTCGCGTGAAGGTGTTGGTCACCTGAGATTAAAACAAGTTGCTCACGTGCAGCAATTCAGCGGTCTCAGCCCGGTCACCGATGACCGAATAAAATCCCACAATTGAATTCGCTTTTTTGGTTAATCCATACTTAATCAAGCTCTGAGGACAAACACTTTGGTTGAATGACGTGCGATGCACCGCTGTTCACAATGCGTAAAGAAGCAGCCTTGTGGCCCTTTACATAAGAGGCCTACGGAAGTCACTCCTGTTGATGTGTTCTGCCGTGTCACTGGCCAGAGCCGTTGTGAATCGGATGATGGAGAGTTCTGGAAGGAGAGCTTTCATCTCGTGACTGGACACCCCTAAAAGGCAATTGGGATGTATTCCAGCCATTCCCAATCCACTAATGGATGAAGGTTTCGTGAATTTTTTCTGTTTTACTATACTTTTCCGCGGGTTGGTGAAGTGGTGGTGGGGGGGAGTGTTCAGATATCACTGGCCAACGATTTTGGCCGTGGCCTGGAATCGAATTCTGGGTCCCAAGGTTCAGTGTGCAGTGCGCTCACCTCTGCAACCACCCCACCAACCGGTGATGCGATTTGGGATAGAATGTAAACAACACATTTTTGTAGTTTTGATTTAAAGCTTTCATGACTGCAAGGATTCATATTCTTGGTTCTTTCGGTAAAGTCACGTAGAAGGGAAATAATAAAATAATATAAATATAAAACATATATAAATATAAAACATATTTATATTATTTTATTAATATTTATATTATTTTATTATTTCCCTTCTACGTGACTTTACCGAAAGAACCAAGAATAATTTTGTAGTTGTTTGAGTTTGTGCCTTGACAAAAGAACTTAAGGTATTTTTGTCGAGCTGTTGTGGCTTATAAACGATTTTTTTGCAGGAACTTGTAAAAGAAGCCTGCCCACGGGTGTCGCCTCTCTTCCGTTCCTAAACGTCGCTGAATAATTCAGAAATTACGGAATGTCTTTTTTTGCAGGGTTTTATTCTAGAAAATACACCCACCCGTAGTTTAATTAAAATAAATTACAGGTGGTAACTATGAACTGGAATTTCTGGTTGTAAGCACGGATCTTCTACTAAATGTGGGCGTTAGCGTGGGTGTGTGTGCAGTGTTGCATTTTTGTAAAATGCTAAATCGAATTAAAGGTGTGTGCATGCGTGTGTATGTGCGCATGTGTGGGGAGCGGTAGTGTAGTGGTTAGCGCGCTGCGCTACGAATCTGGCGACCCGCTCACGGCCATCACCAGTGACGATTATCTAAACCAGTCCTGGGCTTCCCCTAGGTCGACTCAGCCTCAAATGAGTACCTGGTGCGATGTGTAAACATCGCCACTAGGGAGACAAAGGTGGCCGGGCGTGGTGTTGGCCACCCACCCCCTCGTGTGCCGTGCCGGCCTTCATAGGTGCTCGCTAACAGCACTTGACCCAACAGTCTGTTAAGACTATACATGGGATCTTTGACTTTTTTGTGTCCGTGTTTGTTTGTCTTTGTGCATGTGCACGCATGTGTGCATGCGGCACAGTGGAGAGCACAGGTGATGCATCTGCCAGTAATCTCAGCCAGGTGAACCCACGGCAATTGGGTCTTTCCCTTGACCTCCTTCCAGCGAGCCTTTGACACTTCACGTGGCCTCAAAGTGCACCTAGCCTGGCACAAGCGCCGTGGTGTTGTTTTTTGTTGTGTGTGTGTGTGTTAACACGGACTGTTGGTGCAAGTGCTGTTAGCGAGCACCTATTAAGGCCGGCACGGCACACGAGGGGGTGGGTGGCCAGCACCTCTGCTGAGGCTAAACGAAAGAGTTTTGGCTGAAGTCCCCCATTTATCCGTAAAGGCCACGACAGCGGCTGCTGTGCCGACGAGCTGTTTCACGACACATGACGGGTTGGGTGTGGTCAGCACCACAACAGGCAGTCTCCCCATTGCCGATGCTGAGTTGACTAAAAGGAGGCTCAGATTTATTTCGGATTTAAATAACAAAAAACTTTACACAGAATACTGGCTTGCTAACCGTGCAGATT